GAGCCTTACTACCTTAATTTGCTTATGTGTGCCCTAACTGTGAAAGACACATTAGACCATATACCACTGCAGGGACCTGATATGATGAGTTAGCACTCTTTGTAAAACAATGATAAATATGTTGGTACTATATTATGAATAACATGAATGCATGCATTAAAACTACATTTTCTTTCCCTGCATCTCATTTTCCATTTTGGTGATCTTCATTTGTACATACTGTATGCTACTGTCTGTTTGGAATGTTGGCTTTTCTCCATTTACTACTACTTACTTACTACTTAAGGGAAAGTTCAATAATCAGTGTACTTAGAAATATAAACATTTGATATAATCAAATTTGACACAATTGTCTTTTCTTCCTATAGAATCCCTTGGCATGTGATGTCATTGTTGATGTTGTAAAAGAAACCGCTAACATTCTGCCTGATTATCAATGTTTTTCTACGGTAATTCTTTTTCCTATATTTAAATCTGACAAAGTCATCATATAATGTAATGTGTGTTTATGTAGTTTTTCAGAATTGCTGGATGGAGTGAGCTGTTAAAGTGATATGAAAGCTTAAAGTGACATTAAACCCTCAGATTTTTTAACATAAACCAATACTGTAATGTGTGCCTTACTGTAATCCATGGTTGTTTCCCTTCTCTTTGCTGCTCTTCCTTTTAAATCCTCATGTCTTCTCATGCTTGGGGAGTACTTCCCTTTGCAGCTGGTTGCCTCTTCCTGTAGTGCTGGCTCAGGTTTCAAACCAACACACAGACACCATGTATCCATTTCAGAGACAAGGCAGTCTGCTGCAAAACAGAAGTTCTGCCCAGCATGAGAACAGATACAGATTTAAAAGGAAGAGCAGCAAAGAGAAGGGAAACTACCATGGATTACAGTAAGGCGCACATTACAGTATTGGTTTATGTTAAAAAATCTGAGGGTTTAATGTCACTTAAGGTTTTTTATGGGGTTTCTTATACATAGGAGGCCCACATTTTTAAAAATCCTCTGTTGTTGTTCTTTAAAAATTTTCAGATCCTCTTTCTCTAGTGGGTCCCTGCATCGCTATCCCTGCACTGGTGCCACCATCAGCTAAGCAGCTGCTGTGGAGACACCTATGCGTGTGAGTTCCCGGCTGTACTCGCAAGTACCTATGTGTGCTGTGCAGCAGGCCATGCCCCTCCTCTCCTCCCTACAGATTGATTGATGGCAAAAAGAGCCTATGGCTCCTCTGCCTTCAGTATCCTCCCCCGCAACCAGGAAGTTAGGGGAATGGAGGATAGCTTCAGGGACAGGCGGCGGTGACAAGTCTTCACGGGTAAGTGTGTGGGGGGGGGGAGGGGGACAAGGGACATAAAAAGATACTGGGCATTTTTTACCTTAATGTACAGAATGCATTAAGGTAACAAACGCCTAGCCTTTATTACTACTTAAGACTAAGTGGTGCATTTAGTCTAACCATTTTTAGTTAATTGTGCTTATTATTTTATTTTTACCTGCCTGCAGTGTTATATTAATGCATGCAGTATTTGTTTTGATTGCAGAGAGCTCGTGCTGTCACAGTAAAGGGATTTTCCCCTCTCCGCTCAATAGTACAACGGGACAGACGAGCACTTGAGAAATCCAAAGGTATAGGGCATGGACAAAATGTGCATAAAGGAGAAAAACAAGAAGAAAAACATGGAAAAATGAATGAAAAAGAAAAAAAAGACCATGATAAGAAAAAAGATCATGAAAAGCAGAAAGATCGCAAAAAGAAGAAAGATCACTCTTCTGAAGAATCTGAAGAAGACCATAGAAAAAAACCTGAATCACCACCAAAAAAGCCAGGGTTTGACTTTGACAGAGGATCAGAGAGAGATAAAGTAACCCAACATCCAATAGTTACAGAGAGAGTTACCAGGAAACCTGCAATGCAACCACCTACACCATTCATACCTAAATTTCCACCCTCAACCAACCAAGCAACACTCACACCTGATGTGTCAACTTCTACATTGGCAACAGCAATTCCAGATTACACAGGGACTCTGCCTACCATTAAGACAGTTTTAGATTTTCCAGTGTTACCCCCTTTGAATGCCCCAAAATGTCCTGGTAAAGTCTGGCAGCCGTTGTTGATTATTCCAAAGTTTGCTACAGAGAAACCATTCATTATTGATGGTTTGTTCTCAGCTGCTGATGATCTAGACCCTCCAAAAGATCAGGATCCATCTACTGATCTGAGCACAACCATTTTTTTCTGATGTAGAACTGAAATTGGCCTTGGTCTCTAACACTCAGATGATTCAGAGATCACCCCACAAAAAGCTATTGCATTTCTTTATACATATGAAGAAAATTCAGTAACAATGTTTTAAATAAAAGTGAATATGCTAACTGTGGCTATTTTCCAACTGATTAATTTAAGTGTGAAACTACTGCATCTGCATTACTAATTTCTTAACAAAATTACATATACTGTAAGCCAAAACCCACATGTGACATCCTTTTGCCCTGATGAAGGGACCCTGCGTGGCCCTGAAACGTTGGCTATTTTCACTGTGACTTTGCCCAAATAAAATGGACTTATTCAAATGATATTACTGGTGATCCTTATCCACGTTCATCTACATCTGTAGGCTATCTTCTGCCTTTCTCTAATATACAAATCCTAGAGGCTATCTTCTGCCTCTCTCTAATATACAAATCCTTTTTCCAGGACCCCGTCTTTTTTGTAAACCATCACAAGCATTTGCATATGGTGGTGGTGGTGGTGGTGGGGGGTGACAGGTGAGCCCATCACCACTACTCGGAGCTAATATGATCTGTAGCAATGTCAGAAAAAATTAAAGTGAGCTCGAGAATACATCACACTAGATTGAAACAATCTGTGTACTACAGTCATACCAGTGTGGTCAGTAGATGTATACAAACTTGCAACACCCCAAGTTACCAGAAGAAATCCTGAGATAATTGTAACTTTTGTAATTTTAACAAAATGGTACTTTTCAAATAAGATCTCCCTTTGACTACCAACAGAGACATGATCTTATCAAAATAAATAGCAAGAGGTGCACACTAGACAAGTGCCCTGCAAACAAATGTGTTTAGTTTCGGATTTTTCGTTATTTTTCTTTTTGGGATTCGGGTCCAAAATACAATTTGTTCTGGTATTCTGATTTATCAGAATCCAACATTTTAATAAAATACATATAAAAAAAATATTTTAAAGTCCCCCGCGATATTAATTTAAACAAGCGTTGGTGCCCCTACGTAGGAAAACAACGATCCTGCTACACGTTAGGTATCGCTGCGTGCCACAGAGTTAGATAAATAATTCTAGGGCCAGTATTCATGGATATCTCTAAACTGATGATCCGTATTGACTTTTAAAGCGTCTCCTATGGACAATTTGGGGTACCGTATCTTGTCGCTGTTTCACGGACACACACAATTTTTAACCTGGGCATGTTGGGTATCTTTTTACTCATCATAACCTCATATTTTATATTTTACAAATAAAATGGGTATTATATTTTGTTTTTGGGGACTACAATTAGCTTAATTAACTAAGTTAATTAAGTTGGGTTTGGTAAAGAGTTGTGCAAATATTGTGCAAATCTCACTATTTCTATTCTAGGCTTTCAGAAAATATATAATGTTTGGGGGTTTAAAGTAATTTTCAGGCCTAAAATGTGGATTATAACATGTGTGCAAAAAAGGAATTGTCAGCGAAAGGGTTAAAGGTGGCACCCAGATACCTATAAGCCACCCTGCCCGCAGACCCCCACAACCAAATGGTTGTGGGGAAGAGGCCCTTGTCCTCATTGACAAAGCACCCTCCCCATGTTGAGGGAATGTGGCTTGGTATGGTGCAGGAGGGGGCGCAAGCTCCCCCCCACCCCTTGCCTGCTTTGCCAAGTTGTTGCACGGATGAAGGGTCTGGTAAATTTCCTATTACACCAGTTTTATATATATTACCTTAGATACACAAGGACCCCAAATCCCCTCCTGAGAGACCCCAAAATGTGTGCACCTCTCTAAGTCAATTCCATGGAGTCAGATGTCTAGAGCAGGCAGCATAGTTAGTGGATTTCTTAAACCACCTCTGAAGTCATATATAAAAGGTAGATCAGTATGTGATAGTGAGGTGAGAGCTGGTTATGTTAAGGTTTCACTCCCTCTTACATTTTTGTGTCCAAAGCAAATTTTTTCTTATCTATGTTTATCTTTTGTGCAATGCTCCAATATAAATAAATGTTAATTTTTTAACCACCCACATGCGAAAAAGTAGAAAGAAATTAGATAAGGGGTTATTGCACATGTCAGAGTTCATATGTGGTTCATATTTTGAAATATCCCTGCAGTTTATGTTATTTTTGCCACAATGCTTTACAGTTGGTATGAGGTTTGTCTTTTGAAATGTTCACTTTAGTTTGCACCAAACACATCTTCTGTTGCTGTGATCAAACAACTCTTGTTTCATCAGTCAATAGCACATTGTCCCAGAAGGCTTTGGTCTTTGCCTATATGTTTAAAGGCAAAATGTAGTGTTGTTTAATTGCTCTCCTTGGAGAGCAAAAGCATTTTGCTGTTATGCTAAATAAGTATATTGAATATAATATGAACTTAAACCATTGGTTTATAGGTTATATGAACTTAAACCATTGGTTTATAGGTTATAAGAAAGCCAACAATTGTGTAAGAAGGAAATAATTGTATACAATGTTACAAGAATTTGCAATCTCTACTACGTTGATAAAAATAGTGAAGCTGATCCTTAGGGCCTCTTTACATCAAGGTAGTCCATTGCAGTGAGTGAACACATGTTGGCAGCCCATATGAATGGGCTGCCAACGAACCACAATAGACCTAAAAATGAACATGCACTATTTGGTGTGCTGCTTTAATATGTTGGAGAACCACTGAAAATGAATGGCACCCCAACGCACACATGCATTGTGGGTTTCTGTGTGTTATGACAATGCGTGTGTTAGCACAGTGGTTTGTAGATGTGCGCAATTCGTTTTGTTCCGAATTGAAATTTGTACGAATTTCTGTAAACATTCTGGACATTCGTATGCATCCAAATTTCCGAATGACAGAAATAACGAATCTGAACTCATCTGAATGTTTGATAACGAAATTCGGATGTATCCAAATTTCATTTGGAAACTAAACACAAGCGGGAGAGTTGTCATTTACAGCTCTCTGGCTTTCTGCGGAACCATGCTCACAAGGCCATCCGGACCCCTGGTGACACCCTGCACTGCCCTCCTAAGACCCCGCACAGCCCTAGTGAGATCCTTCACAGCCCTCCTAAAACCCTGGAGACATCAGGCCCCCACCCTGGAGCAACACAGAAAATGTAGCTTCATATTATTCTGCATTGCTGTATAATGTATTTCTGGGTTTTGTTGTCCTCTATAGCTGGTGGTATTCTGAATTGTTGTATAATGTATTGCTGGAATTTGTTGTCCCGGTAGAGCTAGTAGTCAGTGGCAGAACTACCAGGGTCACAGCGGTGGTGGTCCTGGCGCTCCACCACTGTCCTAAAATCATAAGTTTTTATTATTTTAGAAAAACTGTCACATGACACTAAAAAAAGTCCTGTCTATCCTGAACCCATGTGCTGACAAAGCCTCCAAAACGTTAGAGTATGTGCACTACTGCACTCCTGTAAATCTAACTCTCATCTCATTTCCCTCACCTTCCTGCTTCTCCTGCTTTCTGAGGACATTTCACCTTCCTTAACAACTTCTCTGCCTGGCTAACCTACTTTCTCTCCTCTGAAACACCCACTGTTTCTTGGTGACTTTAATGTCCCTGTTAATGTTAACACACCAGCAACCTCTTGGCTACTCAGCCCAACTTCTTCCTTTGGCCTAACTCAATGGACTAACACTTCTACTCACTCTAATGGTAACACCCTTGATCTCATATTTTCCCAGCTCCGCAGTCCTTGCAATCTCTCCAGAAAAATAACAGTGGTTGGGCTGTGGGGGGACACAAATAAAGTATGGCAGTGATCAAAACCTCACAACCCAGAACAGGAGAAAATCCTGTTATAGAGTCCAGTCATAGAACCCAGAAACAGTTGTTAGTTGAGGTAATGCCACAATCAAAGGCCCTAATGCACTAAGGTACGAATAATGCAAAATTATTTGACGTTGCCCTGACTCACATGCACAGCTTTGTTTGTGCAAATCTTGCAGAGTGTTTGCAGAGTGCAAAGTTGGGTAATATTTGTATTCAAAGTCTAATGACCTATGTCTGTATAAGCAAGATTGTTTTTCTCTTTCTAGTTCATCCATATTTGCACAGATTTAACATAACAGTCCAGAGCAAGCTCTACTTGTGATCTCTTCCAGCAATGAATCTCCTGCCCATACTGATTTTCTGTTTTCATTGTTTTTTAAGTGCTGCTGTTCCGGTTCCAGATATCGGTGTTGACTGCGATGACCCAAATATTTTTAAGGCAGTAGATGAAGCACTGAGATACTACAATGATGCTAAAGAAGATGGGAACCAATTTCTTCTGTTCAGAGTAACAGATGCCAAACAAAGGGTATGTATACATCAACATTTACATCATGTGCCTTGCCATTAGGGCCTCATAAATGTTCTACTGTAACTAGCAAACTTTGAAATGTTCTTGGATCATTATGTATTACAGGGTCAGTTCCCCAAAACTGGTGTTTCAGTATGGCGTTAATTCTCAGGGTTTAAAGTATGCAACTTTTTCTCACATCTCTTAGGACTTCAATGATGAGATTAAATGCTAGAAGTTTTCATGCTGGTCCACAAGTCAATATCATTACAAGAGAGTCGTATTATTCCAAATGTATTTGTTAACTACATTTATGTCAGATAAGGAGAATGCAATAATAAAGTGAGACTCCTTCTGCAGAAAAAGAAAGAGCAAGAGTAAAGCTGGCCATACACCTATTGATTATCTGCAGATTTTCTATGGTCAGATGGAAAAAGCGCAACAGATTCCTCCATCTACGCTAAATTGTGAGGATGGAGGAATTTCCCACTGGGCCAAGCTTCACTATCTTGCTAGTCGGCCCCGCTGGCTCTCAAAATACCTGAACAATGCCTGCATCCAATAAGATTGTTCAGGTATTTTGACAGCCAGCGGGGCTGACTAGCAAGATACTGAAGCTTGGCCCAGTGGGAGATTCCTCCATCCTCACAGTTTAGCATAGATAGAGGAATCTGTTGCACTTTTTTCCATCTGACCATAGAAAATCTGCAGATAATCTATAGGTGTATAGCTAGCTTTATTTGTACTAGAAGGATAGATATATAATAATATAATAAGGTCGATTGGTGTATGTACCGATTTACCACTATCCAGACAAAACTGAAATAAAAAGTTTGACTTGACTGATTCTTTAACAACGGAACTGAAGAAAAGAGGAGGTGTTACCAAAGTCTACCTTTCATACATAGCAGATTAATCTGCTAATCACTTGTTATGGGCAACACAATCACTTGTTTTCTTCATTTTTCTATACCTTAACTTTAGTATGGTTTTTGTTTGTTCAAACTCAGGATTCTGAGTGAATGAATCACACATATGCACAGTTACAGATAATAGAATCAATAGAGCAATATCTATTTACAGAGATTTGTAGTGTATTCAAATGGTAACTAATGCAGCTGTGGAATTAGCTACTTGCTTTCATCACTGATAGATGAGTATCATTGTTATCCATATTATATTTTGTGGGACTTGTCAGTAGCATAAGTTCATGTATAAAATGTTCCTCCTAAAATGCAAATGTGAGTCATTCATTTAGTGGTAAACAGATGCTATAAAACAGCTCTAAAAGTAATTGGTAATTACTAAAGCTTATGTGTGTACCCTGGCATATCAATCATGTGCGGACAAACAGATGGTATCCTCACAATATTTACTAGGTGTTTCCCTGCAGGTGGTTTGATATGGAGTATACTATTTAGTGCCTGAATGTTGGCTTCAATAGAGAATACATCAAAGATCAAAAATATACCATGCATGCGGTAAAAAACCTTAAGGGCCCATTCACACCATACAGTAGATCAATGTGTCATGCATGCATTGGTGCATTGCTGTTCCATTCATTTTCAATGGCACAGATCATCTTCAATAGCACTTCAGTGCACCTTCAATGCACATGCATTTACGCACAGTAATGTACTAACCTGGGTTCTGGTGCATCTAGAGGCTTTCTTAGCCTTTTTGCTAAATAAGTCTCCTGTCAGGGCAGGGGGGTGTTGCTGGATGGTGCACAATTGGGGAGGAGAGGTAGTGCTGGTGGAGAATTATGCTTTTAAGAGCCAGGCAGGGAAATGGGTAAGGGCTGCAAAAACTAATCGATTAACTAGATTATAATCAATAACGAGAATCGTTGGCAACGAATCTCTTCATCGATTAGTTGCTTTTTGATTAGTTGCCGCCGATGTGCTCCTCCGTTGTCCTGCCACTGGTGCTGGCTGCAGCGGTCTGTGTCCCTTACAATCCTCGCTGCTCTCCCCGTCTGTATCGGCAGAGGCAGCAAGGACAAAGACCACTGTAGTCAGCACCAGCGGGGAGGAGAGACCGCTGTGAATGCATGCCCCCGCTGCCCTCCCCGTACCTCCTCTGCTGCCTCCGTACCTCCGCTGCTGCTCCCGTACCTTCTCTGCCCCCTGTGCCTTCACTGCCGCCCTGTGTCTCCTCTGCCCCACCCTGTTCTTCCTCTGTCCCGCCCCCATGCCTCTGCTGCTGCCCCGTTCCTCCCCTGCATCTAGAGGCAGGGAGCCATACCCAGCCTGCTATTATATATTTAAAATGCAATAGCCAATAACAGGCTGGCTATTGCACCCACCCACTGCCTGCTGTCAATCAGCAGAGGAGGGCCTGATGGAGAACTTTCTCCTTCACCTCCCTATTCTGCTGATTGACAGCAGGCAATGGGTGGGTGCAATAGCCAGCCTGTAATTGGCTATTGCAATTTGAAATATCCAATAGCAGGCTGGCTATTGCTCCCAGCAATAAAGTGTTAAAAAAAGTTTAAAAAATAAAGTTAAATAAAATTAAAACGACTCATAGTTATTTTATTATATTGGCGTTTTAAAATTCACATTATTTAAGATCCATAAAACTAATCAAAATGTCTAATATAATACATACGATTATTTAAAAATGATACAGTATATAAAAGGTGGGAAAAGTCATTTTTCTGCTTGACAAATTTTGCTACAGGAGGTGCATTGCGGTGCCATTCAATTCAATGGATCTCAAATGCACCTCTCGTCTGCAGTGTGATCGCCCGCACTGGAATGCATGCAGTTTTATTCGGAAGAAACGGTATGTCTGTAACGCTGCATTTGTGCATTTTATTTTAAATAAATGATGGTATTATTTTTTACATTTTATCTGATTAATCGATTAATTAATTAAAGTTAATAATTGGCTAATTAATCAATTATGAAAATAATCGTTAGCTGCAGCCCTAAAGGGCTTTGCACCTCCCTGCCAAGCTCTTAGCCAACAGGAACGCTCTAGCTAGTGTCCCGCTGAGCTCCTGGCAAAAAGTGATGTCTCTGGTTGCCAGGAGGTCTGTGGGACGCTCTTCCCTGCTGTCCCCCCATCTGACCCAAAGAAATGCTATCTGAGGCAACACCTTCAGGCTGCCTCATAATAAGGATGGCCCTGGATGCGCCGCATCGAAAAATTTTTCCCTTTTTAGGTCCATTGTGGTGCAGTTATGTGCGGTGCCTTCCATGCTGGGTGATGCATTCCCCATCCCTGACCCCAGCCTGCCGCAGCCCCAGCCTACTGAATCAAAAAACTAATCAAAATACGGCATGCATTAAGCTTTTGTAAAGAAACGGAAAGCACCCCTTAGTCTCGTTTGTCTTTACTCTTTAAGTTATCTAGAAGAAGGACAGCGTGGGAACAGAATAAATACAATTCTTGGTTTAAAAAGAATTCCAAGGTCACAGGTTATATTATGTCCATGTGTTTTTTCATACATGGAAAGTAATTAAATAATGTTCTTGTATAGCCTATGAGTTTTTTTGTCAAGGTAACTCTAAATGTAAAATGTATTTGCGTATTGCGCAAATGCAATGCTGTTGGCTTATTATGGTTTCATGATTTTCTATTTTCTGTCTCATATCAGTAGAGGTTACAATGGGAAACAGAAAACAATAATAAGCAATCATAAAAGAAAAAGTGACAGCAATGTATCAGTAATCAGGAAATCTGTATTATGTAGGCTGCTATTATTAAAATTTCAGTCCCAGTGAAAAAAGAGCACCAGTGAGGATGAATCCCCCTAAATGGGACACAGACCGCAATAAAAACCTGGCAGGGGTTCTAGCCCTCCATCACTTTAACTAAAACTTAAAAAAAATAATAATATTAAGTTACACATTTCTCTCAGTACAGGTTTGAGGCTAGGTTCACATCTGCACTACACCGCACGACACCCGGGAAGCGCATCGCGGTATCGCGCAGTCCTGCACAATGCATGCAGCGATTGCCATGTGGCCCCATTGATTTCAATGGGGCGACATCCGCGTGGCAATCGCAGAAAAAAGGTACAAGCACCTTTTTTTGCTATATTATTTGGCTGTATTAGTCGCAACCGTGTTCGGAAGCAGGAGCAGAATCACGGCGGGAAACTGCGCGATCCGCCCCGGCGCACGACTGGGGTGCCATTAGAAAATAATGCAACCCACAGCGAGATCAGTTCACACCTTGGCGACTCCTTCTTGCGCTGCAATCAGTGAGGTATCACCTAGGTGTGAACCTAGCCTTAGAGGTAGAGCCAGCTGTGCCCGTCCCCTCCCCCGTCCATTCCTCCAATCAGCACTGGAGGATCGGAGAGGAGAGGGGAGGGGGGGAATCCCTGCGGGGAGCAATGACTGACAGTCACCACTGTCTGCAGGGAAATAATTGTGAACTGAGTGATCAGCAGTATGTGATCGCTCAGTTCTCAATCAATAAAGCCGACATGTGACATCTGCAGTGTCACATGCGGGCTCTAATTCAGGGGACGAAAGTATTTCACTCTTCCCATAATTCTCCTTTAAGGAAGCAACAGCGGGCAACCTTAGTGCACATGTGCCCCTATTTTTAAAATGCCAACTCTGGGAAAAAATTATTTACACACCGCACTGGGTATGTACATGGTCACTAAACAGCTTTCCCACCCCTTCTCACTACTTGCCCATTCACAAATGTGTTGTGATGTGACATGATCTCTCCCCCTGCAAATCACAGAAGTCCTTGTAGTCTTTGAAAAAAAAATACAAGGCATTTTGTGAATGGGCAGAAGTCAGGAAGTGTGCTCCAGTTAGTGCTGTGCGTAGTGCTTCACATTCCTCACTACGCACAGCGCCCTAAAGCCAAATGTTTTATGTAGGAGATGGCGTGCTGCAAGGTAAGATTTTTATACTTTGCAGCAGGCATCCACACACAACATGCAGCTTTTTAGTGATCATTTGTACATCCAGTGCAGTGCATAAATTATCATATTTCCTGGAGCTGGGCTTTAAAGGAGAATTATGGGGTGAGTGAAAAACACTCAGCCCCATAATTCAAGCCGACCGGTGACAAAATAGCTGTCAAACGTCGGCTCTATTGATTGGGAAGTCAGCGAACATACAGTGCCGATTGCTGACTTCCCAATCCTCTGCCTGAAGAGAGCGGTGACTGTCAGTCACCACTCACCGCAGAGATTCCCCCCTTCCCTCTCCGATCCTCCAGCGCTCACTGGAGGAATGGATGGGGAAGGGGGCAGGCAGGCAGGCTCTAGAGGAAGAGCCAGCTTTCAATCAGCTCGACAGTGTCGGGATGCTTCCTGGCTGTGGAGCGGCTCTGTGCTCTCAGCATATAGTGGGAAATAGCACGCTACATGCTGAGTTTTAGGTCAACGTAGGCAACAGTATATGTCCTCCCTGACCCTAAAGAGAACTAGGGGCAAAACAAGTTTAAATAATGTTATAATAAATCTACATGAACTGTATCTTTACACACTGTGATCAGTAATAGCTTTTCTCTGCTGCGCACTGAAAAGGTGACATTTCAGCTAAGATAGAAAAAACTACAGACAGTCATTTCAATATTTAAGTGGTAATCTCACACATGGTCTTATATTATTTTGGTGTACTTGGTGCATTTGACTGGTTTCCATGTAACATGTTTCAGCCACTCTATGCTGCTATAGGTAGCTTACAAGATGGGAGCCATTGTGCTAGAGGTGTGTGACTCATAAGAGTGGCTGCTGGGTGACTTCACACACTATATCAACTATGTATATACTGTATTTATATATATGCTGTGTATATACAACTTTGCTTTAAAATTTATCTCCTTTTTTTTCAACCAGAATGATGAAAATGGTCAGATACATTATTTTCTTGATTATGAAATACGTGAAGGCTCATGCACAGTGAAGAGCATGCACAGTTGGCAAGATTGCCAGTTCCAGGCACATACACCAGTAAGATTATTTATGCACTTTTTCTCTTTGATATGTGTGTTCAGTTTTACCAACAAATCAGTATTATTTTAGTATGTCAGTTTTTTGGGTGTGTGCTGATGGGCTACATTTCCACCGACTTCCTGCTTCTTTTAGGGACTACAGAGAAAAGCTGTACATACTAACTTGTCCTGCTCTGACATCCACCAACCCACCAGTTAAGTAGCAAAGCAAGAAAGTCTCATAACTCCTGCTTCATTTTCTGTTAGGTAAATGGAAAATTCAGTCACAAACATTAAATGTCCTTGTAAAAGACACTGGTTGTGGATGGACATAGAAACACAGGTACATACTGTATAAGAACTGTATGAGATACAGCCTTTATCCGTCCCTTTTGTGATATGGATGCCTAAATAAACACTTTAATTTGGTACTAATATGTACATGAGCAGTACCAAGGCTATAAACATTGGTGTTATATCAACTGGAAGAATTTCTAAATTAGGAACAGACCTAGAGGTGGGAAGAAAGGGAAGTAATGGGGAAATATTGTAATGGTATATAGTTGTATTTCATGGAATATAGGTGGACTGTATATAAAGGCAATAAATATTCAGACAAATTCCCAATCACGTTTACTCCAGAAATCTGATGTTATCCAGCTACTTGTTACCTGTGCACCTACACTATATTGTCAAAAGTATTGGGACACCCCTCCAAATCATTGGATTCAGGTGTTCCAATGACCTCCATGGCCACAAGTGTATAAAATCAAGCACCTAGGCATGCAGACTGCTTCTGCAAACATTTGTGAAAGAAGGGGTCGCTCTCAGGAGCTCAGTGAATTCAAGCGTGGTACCTTGATAGGTTGCCACCTGTGCAATAAGTCCATCCGTGAAATTTCCTTGCTACTAAATATTCCACGGTCAACTGTTAGTGGTATTATAACCAAGTGGAAGCGACTGGGAACAACAGCAACTCAGCCACGAAGTGGTAGGCCACTTAAAATGACCGAGCAGGGTTCATGCAGCTGAAGCGCACATTAAGCAGAAGTTGCCAACTGTCTGCATTCTGCCAAGTGTAAAGTTTGGTAAAGGGGGATTATGGTGTGGGGTTGTTTTTCAGGGGTTAGGGTTGGCTCCTTAGTTCCAGTGAAGGGAACTCTTAAGGCATTAGCATACCAAGACATTTTGGACAATTTCATGCTCCCAACTTTGTGGGAAGTTTGGGGATGGCCCATTCCTGTTCCAACATGACTGCGCACCAGTGCACAAAGCAAGGTCCATAAAGACATGGATGAGCGAATTTGGGGTGGAGGAACTTGACTGGCCTGCACAGAGTCCTGACCTCAACCCGATAGAACACCTTTGAGATAAATTAGAGTGGAGACTGCGAGCCAGGCCTTCTTGCCCAACATCAGTACCTGACATCAAAAATGCGCTTCAGGAAGAATGGTCAAACATTCCCATAGACACACTCCTAAACCTTGTGGACAGACTTCCCAGAAGAGTTGAAGCTGTTATAGCTGCAAAGGGTGGACCAACTCAATAGTAAACCCTGCGGACTAAGACTGGGATGCCATGAAAGTTTATGTGCGTGTGGGGAAACATGTGGGGAAATGTGCATAAAAATGCGCGTTTTACGTGTGGAAACGCTGATGCCTAGGTTTGAATGGAGACTTAGGGGTCTATTCACAAAGCTGCCGAAGGATCTGGCCGTAGCTTCGGCCGATCCTTCGGCTAGCTTCGGCACCAGCCACACGAAGCAAGCCGATGTACGGCTGATTTCAGCCGATATACGGCTGAAATCAGCCGTACCAGCCTGAAGTGAATAGCCGAACAGTGTTCGGCTCACTTCACTTCTGATCGGTCATTCACTCGGCTGCCCTCGGCAGCTTTGTGAATAGACCCCTTAGTGCCATTTGCCTCAGCTTAGTCACAGTCAAAATGAACAAAGATGAAAGGGATTTAGGACCCTTCCAAGAGGCTTCTGCTGTTGAAAAGAAATACACTCAGATGGATATTCCAATGAGTATTATGGTATGATTGGAAAGATTGACCATATTGACTTAAATGAATAACACCTATTTAGTTGAGGGTCGTTTCCCTGCAGTTTCAGTCCCTGCAGCCTCTATCCCCCCTCTGCTGCGGTGATGAGATGCCCCTTGGTGTCCTTAGAAGCCAAGCAGGACCGTTTGGGTGAGTATATCTTTGTTATTTTAGACCCTAGACCAAAACGAGCACTTAACCTTTGCAGTAAGTGGGGGTAGCCCACCGCAAGGATCACATTTTATTCGCCCATTTGTTCTGTCCTTTAACTCTTTTAACTCATGTTGGCTGTAAGCAATGCACTACTTTTATGTAATTTATCAGCAAAGTTTTGCTTCCATTACTAGTCAGCTAATAGGCTACTATCTGTGCAGGAACAGGGAAAATGTTCAGCACATCTCCTTATCAACACAGAAAAGAAGATCCGGACTGTTGTGTCGCAAACCTGCAGTGTCAGTAAAGGTATGATCATTAAAATTGGTGGACTGCTCATTAAAATTCATGTTTTATTAATTAGTAGGGAATGCCAGTGTTAACAAACCATATTTGTTTTTAGTAAAAAAAATATTTTTAATCACGCCATGTGATACATCATAGATTTTATTGAAGTGGGTTAAAGGAATTAAAATTTCCTGTTGTCACTCGAGGTTTGTCACATTCCCTATGAGCGCTCAGGACATAGAGCAGAACCTAGATCAACCATGTGATGTGACTCTGACACCCAAAAAAGCTACTCACAGCACATATAAGCCTCTTCTATCATCATTGTCTCTACCACATCCCCACCACAAAGTGTTCTCTGGTACCTCTCACCCCATCCACTTTATGTTCTCTTGGAGCTTCCCCTCAAATATTCATTTTCTGGTATTTCTCCGGTTGTCCATATTGTGTTTTTTGGCAGCTCTCCCTCAATTGTCGATGCTAAATTTTTTGACAGATCTCCTCCTACTGTCCACTCTATGTTTTCTAGCAGCTCCACCTACCATCAGCATGATTGTACATTACAGACATCCCAACCTGCAAAACCTTATTTCAGGGAGGTTCACGCCTCATTTCAGGGAGGTGCCCTTTCTGTTTTTTGGGTTGTTTTTTACAGCGGCCGTCGTCAGAATATAAAAGAAATAATAATGATAATATATATA